AAGAAGAGAATAAATGACATTTGCATTTGATATTATTAACACTGATTAACAAATAAGGAAAATAATTATTTTAGCTTTAAATATTTTAAGTGTTGTATTTAATTTTTATAAATAAAGATAATAAATAAATTTTTGTTTTATTATTTTAATTATGTTTTTAATAATTTACTTGATAGATAATAAAAATATATAAATAACCAACATATAATTCTTCTTCTACGATATATATTACTGCTTATGAATTTCGGTCTTTTGGTTCCTTATATGGCAATCCTAAAATTTGGAAAATATCTTCTTCACAAGTGATTTTTTCTGCCTCTCCTGGAGTTCCTGTATCATATGTAACACAAATATACATATAAGTATTAATATTCTGAAATCTTTTATTACAGATTCATGTATATACCTTCAGGTGTTAGACGCTTTAACGTGTATTCATTCAAAGTATAGTTCTTTTCCAAAGCATGCGCTCTCATATTCTTATTGAAAAGATCATTCCCAGTAAAATAAAGTACACCACAGTAATACTGATCATAAGGTATAAGTCTGATATCGAGTCTTCTAAATGGTTTTTCAGTATTGCTGGGTACTTGACAGACACCCTAAAATTAAATTTAAAATGTTTGTAAACATAATTCCTTTCATTAAATTTAATTGGTAAATAGTAAAATAAATTACCATGAACTTTGTTGATCCAAGTGATATTGTATCTACAATCAATTTTTTTCTCTCAAGACATTCTACAATATCTTTTAACAGTGAAATTTTTTTCTTTGATTCTTTTTCTTTGGACGTATATGTAGGATGTGTTAATAGAACATCAATATCTCCACTTTCCTTCTTTCCACGTCTGTAACTTCCACATATAGTTACAATATATTTTTCACTCAACTTTGCAATAGAATTTTTTATAATTTTTTCAATTTTCTCAATCTCTTTTCTGGGAATCCTTTTCTCAAAATCTTCAAAATATCTAAAAAAAAAATTATATTACAGAAAGAAGTAAGATCCATATATCTGATTATTTTATACTTGAGGCCAATTTTCTGATGATGATTTAATTTATCTTGATGCTTCTTCAAATCTTCTAAAGTTTTAATTCCTTTAGTTACTAATTCTTTGGCTTTTGCGGGTCCAATACCAGATACACGAGTTAACAAATTAATTGCAACATTGCTTTCATCCTTTTTAATCTGTATGAATATCAAATTTCAAGATTAATGCAAAACAAGTGAAGTGTATTTTGTTATTAAACAAATAAATTAAAACAAGTACATCTTCCAACTTTTGTAACTTTCCAGTACTAAGAAATTCATCAATTTTTTTAGCAATTTTTTCTCCGATTCCTGGTAATTTTTTTGCTTCTTGACCATTTTTTACTCTTTCTGGCAATCCACTTAAAGTAGCTGCTGCTTTGCGATAGGCATTGTATTTGTAAATATTTTTGCTAACATTTCGTTCATAATTTGCTAAATCTGTAATTTCATTGTATAATTACTAATTACATAAAAGTTATAACATTTAAATATTTCATATAATTTTAAAGTTTATACTCTATTGGATACTTTTTTTACAACAGTTTCGTTAATAAAATGATGTATACAGAGTATGTATATAATAAATAGCTTACCTATAAGAAAATCACATAGATCTTGATTTGGATTTCCTATATTATCAGTGGCCTTTCGTTTTCCCATCGTATAAAATAAAAAAATATAAATTATATATATAAACGAGTCTAATTTATTAACTTTTTCACTGAGTAATTTTTTTCAAACATAACGCAAAACCGAACCAGCATGCGATGTTTGTCGTTTAATATATGCGCGACCTTTACGTTTTGCGCATGCTAGACAATGATTGGACGATTTATTTTATATTTCAAATATTTTGGCGGTATTTTTTGAAAGACCGATCAAAGATTCAAGAAATATAACATAACATATTATCTCTATATTGAGAAAATATGTTCTTTTCTATTTAGAGAAAATTAATAAATTCTTTTTATATCATAGTTATATGAACTGGGCATAATTAACATAGAAAATGAGTCAAAATTTAACATACTATATTAATTTAACATACTATATTTATTTTAGGCAAACGTATATACATTTTCACACACAAATATAAACCGTCTCTTCTAAAAAAATTAACAATGTCACGCTATGTCAATATAACGATTATAATCTCTTTCAATTTATTCGAACAAGAGAAATATAGATGACTTTCAATATAGATGATATTTCTGCGTTCATTTTATATACATTCTAGTACTATGCTTAGTACATACTTAGTACTATACTATTACAAATTTAAAAAAATTCATATATGCTATAGGAAAACTACATTACTTCAGCCTTATTAACAATTACGAACTTATTTTAATGAAAAACAAATAAATATAGCATCGTGTTAGAATATTTTTAAAAATAAAATTAAATAGTTGATTTATGTAAGTCATTAATAAATGAAGTTATTCATGTTAAGTGTCAACCATATTAAGTCGTTAGGAACATGTTCTAAGAATTATATCGCTTATGTTTGATAATAAGTAAATTTTCCTTACGGAGCGTCTAATTACTATCGCATTATTCTTTTTCCATTTGAAGCTTGACACAGAATCACTTACAGTGGACGGATCTTTATACCTTACTTCTAATGTCAAGTTGTCAGATTTTATTTAATATTTAAGTATTTTTTGTGTATTTTTGATTACATATTGCCTTATATTGAGGACATACGATTATATGCTGCATGGCCTTTTATGCAATAACTGGAAATACACGTGCAAATACTAAAAGCTAAAATAAATATTCCAACGAAAACGTAAAGCCATAATTGAGAAAATCTTCCTGGGAGCCATAAAATTGTAAATTCTATCACTTTCTCTTGTGTATCTAAAAATGAAAAAGAAAAAATATAATTAAAAGGAAAAAAAACTGACGATTTCATAAATGAACACGATGTTATATTTCCTCTACCGATATAAACAAGTCCATAACCCGTATGCGGAGTACCCATTCTGTACGAACAAGTGGGTATTTGCAACTCGTGAATATCACCTACGTCCATTCTTAATCGATATAACGGAGTTTCGTAGGGAGGTAAAACCCAAATTTCACTTAATTGGTCTGTTGCTGTATCTAAACTGATATGCATGGCCTTATGTTTGTGTGCAGTAAAAATAATTTGGGGAGATAATTCTTTCAGTACCTAATATTGCAACATAGTTATTAACAGAAACTAAAAATAATATCACTGTCTAATAAATGAATAAATATCACATACATTTTGGACGAAGGTGCCAGGCATAAATAATAAAGGCATATGACTAAGTACTACATTTGTTGTGTTTCTTTCTGCATAATCATTAAGGAAGGCATCTTTTGGTGCTTCTGGCATTGTATGTGTTAATCTATTCACCTAGAAAAAGAAATATACATCTAAATATATATATTAATATAATATTATATTATATTAATATATTTTTTATCACCTTGAAAAATGTTACTGTCTTATAAACTAAAGTATCTGGTTGACTATATGCAAAACTAAATCTATTATTAATATTGGATGAAACTGCATCCTCTTCACCTCCAATGTCATTATCTCCTGGTAGATAAATTTTCTATTGAAACAAAAGTATATTTAAATATATCATGAACAATATTATTTATCTGATTAATTATATGTAATAATACCATTATATGGTCAGGCATTTGAAAGATAGAATCTAATCTTCTTTTATAAGATTTAAAACTTTCTGTACTAGCAATATGTCCTTCATCCATAAGGTCTCCAAGAAATACAACAACATGAGGATCAGAATGGTCTAAGGCTCTAGAAAATGTTTTCTCCAAGTACCTGCAAATAAGATACTGTGGAACAAAATTCATGTCAATGTTTATATTTGATAATAACAAAGTGATAAGAAGGCTGATCTGATAAACAAATTAATTATTATTCATACTTGTCACTATCCCATTGTGCTAACCAAGAGCCAAAATAATTTTCATTCTTTTCACCTAATATCTGAGGGTCAGCAACAATCAGCACCTTGACGCATTCTGAACATTCTTGTACTGACCACTTTAACTTTTGTATATCATACACTGAAAACTCATTGTAAATTACAGCAGCCAACACCAGCAAAGCAATTGCGATGGCTTTGTTTTTTAATCTGCATAGTACAATTTGTTAAACGTTTTATTAATACTCCCAAAATAAGCAAAATAAATGACAGTAATAAGATAGTAATATTTAATCAGAAAGTCAGTTAAACATAGTGTAAAATATTGACTGCACAATGAATACACTTTACCTGTTTCGTCGTAACATTTCTAAGATTTCTGATATTTGATAGCATTGGTAATCTTAAGACCAATAAGTAAATCAGTTCTCTATTATAAAATGCGAAAAACCTTTGTCATAATTTTGTTTTTCTACGATACACGATAATCTAATTAACTAAAGGTTATACAATCATTAAAAAAAAAAAAACAAATCTATTAATCATGCGTACCTCGTTAAATAGTATGGATAATTGTACAATGCTCGACTATTCGATTGCGAAATTGATTTGACCATACAAAAATTGGAAGAATACAGATAAATTCTGTTCGGATCATCCTTATTTCGAATAAAAATCGATATTTACAAAGCACTGCATAATTCACTATAGACGGAAGCAGTCATGATGTAATGGGCATTGAGTTCTTTCTGCGCGCCATTTATAATTTCAAATCAATCACGTTGTTTCATTTCGCTCGTTTTCATTGGATGTATTCTATTCTGGTATAATTTCAAATACTGAAAATATTAAATACGATAAAAGAAATTAAATTATCGACAAAGTTATTTATTATTGTTTTTGTATTAAATACTAATAAAAATATTAATAAAGATATTACAGGCTATACGTTTCCAATGAGAGATTGAACAATTTAGAAAATTTGGCGACAAAATTTTTTACGAATATTATGAGAATACGATGTTAGTTTAGTAAGTTGCTAAATCCGATATATTTAAAGAAACAAATCATTTCTATCTAGCTTACGTACGACATATCTGATTTTTTTGTTAATTACAGTACCTTAAGATGATTTTCCCCTAGATTTTGATCACATGGTTTTATTTACCTCTTCTTGACTCGATTCGTCGAATGAAACGTATATAGTTACTTTCGCACATATGTGTATGCAAACGTATTCACATACATATATACGTAACATGGTTGCGGAGGACTTCATGGCCGTATTGGTTGCGTTGCATCAGCGAGTGCAATGTTCATCTATTTTCGATTCTTTCACAGCGGCGCGCATCGTTTCAACGATTAGTGATTTTCCGTACGGAAAATGGCCGAGCCGGAACAAAGGAATAAAGAGAACTGCATCGTAGGACCGAAAGAAACGATGGTGAAGCAAGAAAAGCGTGAGAACACATTGACGAATGGCGGGAAGGGATCTGGCGATGACGCGGACAGTCTCGAAGAATTGCCACTCGATATAGGCGAACACTATCTCGTTCGCAGATCCGACGAATCTTGGCGTAAATACATTATCACATGATTGTGATCTTTTTATCAATGATTACGCATGAAAAATTATCTGCTCTTTATAGACGATTATCCGCATGCTTTTTTCGCTGCTTCGTGTTTGTGTTTGTATTACCGGCTTCGCTTCGATAAACCGATACTCGTTTTGAAAACATCACGGACGATGTCATGTGTGAAGATTACAAAAAAGAAACACGATAAACGCATTCTTATTGATTGTATTATTTTGATATTATTTTGTGCTCGAGCAACAATATTTTAATATAAAATTGTTAGAACTAGAAAGAATTTGTTAGATTCAATATACCTGATGTATCTGATGAATTTTGAAAGATTAGTATTTTTATATACTCAAAGTCAGTACTTTTATAAGAGCAATATCTTTAAAATTGTGAAAAATGTGAAACTGTTACTCTGTAAAAAAGATAAAAAGTGTGACTTGTATTTTCTTGGAAGTTTTTGATTCAGTATTATTTTATATATCCTTAACTTCTTTTCTTTCATCTTATTATTGTTTTACTTGAAAGTGCATGAATAGAAGAAATATGTGTGATATTAAATAAAATTCTTTTATTACATTTAGATCCGGCAGAGATTATTCAGACTCGATATAATGAGAGTGAAAGTCACTATGAATATTATGTACATTACGAAGGACATAACAGAAGATTGGATGAATGGGTGCCTAGAGATAGAATCATGTCAAGCAGATTTGACATGAGCGATAGAAGTTGGAAAAGTGGAGACAGAAACTCTGGTACTGACTTGTTGGCAGATTCTTCTGATCGTAAAATTACAAGAAATCAAAAAAGGAGACATGATGAAATTAATCATATTCAAAAGGTATATATTTATGAATGTGTTTATCAAGTTACAAATATATTTATAAAAGTTATTTATAATATATTTACAAAAGTTATTTTTCAATTATAGACATATGCTGAAATGGATCCTACAACTGCTGCTTTAGAAAAGGAACATGAAGCAATAACAAAGGTTAAATACATTGACAAAATTCAAATCGGTAATCATCAATACGTATTTTGTAATAACTGAACCCTATGTGTGAAAAGGGTCTCATCATTTTCAAAAGTTCACTTCTAGGAAAGTATGAAATTGATACCTGGTATTTTAGTCCATATCCAGAAGAATATGGGAAACAACCAAAGCTGTGGATTTGTGAATATTGTCTTAAATATATGCGCCTTGAAAAAACTTACAGATATCACATGGTAAGAAAAACGTTAATTTCTTGTGAAATTAGTTGGAATAAAACTTGACTTGTTTTTAATTTTCAGAGTGAATGCACGCATAGACAACCAGTTGGAAAAGAAATATATCGTAAAGGCACATTGAGCATTTGGGAAGTCGATGGTAGAGAGCATAAAATTTATTGTCAAAATTTATGCTTACTCGCAAAATTATTTTTAGATCATAAAACACTTTACTTTGATGTAGAACCATTCCTTTTTTATATTCTTTGTGAGGTTGACAAACATGGAGCTCATTTAGTTGGTTATTTTTCAAAGGTATTTTCTTTTCTATTCTTGGTTGAATTTGTAATTTGCAAATTATACTTTTTTTTTTTATCAATTAATTATGCTTTTATCATGTTTAATCTGCTTTTAGGAAAAGGAATCACCTGATGGCAACAATGTTGCTTGTATTTTAACTTTACCACCGTTTCAAAGGCAAGGATATGGAAAACTACTAATCGCTTTTAGTTATGAATTAAGTAGAATAGAACAAACTGTTGGTAGTCCTGAGAAACCATTGAGTGACCTAGGAAAATTATCATATAGAAGTTATTGGAGTTGGATACTTTTAGAAATTCTGCGAGATTTCCGGGGTACTCTTAGCATTAAAGATCTGAGGTAATTTTTCATTAAAGTAGAATTTTAGATTAAATTATATAATAACATTAAATATTTATCTTTATAATTTACAGTCAAATGACAAGTATATCACAAACAGATATTATATCGACACTGCAAAGTATGAACATGGTAAAATACTGGAAGGGACAACACGTAATCTGCGTAACACCTAAGTTAGTCGAAGAACACATTAAAAGTAGTCAGTATAAGAGACCACGTTTAACAGTGGACAGTAGTGCACTTAGATGGGGTGCTCCCCCACGAAAAAATGTAAAGCCTGGCAAAAAGTAGCAGAAAGCAAATCGGAATTCAATGATTTTTATCATCACGATTTAATGTGTTTAGCAAACACTTGACAAAGCACTTGTAAAAGCGATAGTTGTAACGATCCTTGCAAGTTTGAACAACTTTTTTGCGATGCATTACAGTTTCCATCAATATGCATTGTAAGTACGTATGATCTCTTGATCAGAAGATAATACGGATGAATACGTTGATTTGTAGAACTTCGCTAATTTTCCGGAGCGTAAAGAAGTTTAAGACGTTTAAGATAAATAACATCCTTTATATAATTTCTTTGGCAGTACATTACAAAAAGAGAAATTATCGTGATCCAAAATGTATATTGATAATGAAAGAACCACTTTATTTTCGTTCGAGATTTCGTTCGAGAATCAGTTCCATGATGCGTAAATACAATCTGAAGATACAAGTATATTGTGTTGCGCGTAAAACGAAAGAAAGAAAAAGATTACCACGCAGTATTAGCCCGTATTAACGATTTTCTTATGTAAATTCGTTAATAAACTGTATATTTGTGAGCAATTGTTGTAAAATTTCTATGGATATAATTAGATTAATAGGCCATTAATATTAAATTAAAACAATATTAATCTTTCATAATTTTGCAGTAGAGGATTTGTGCATCTCTTTTGCTAATTGAACAGCATACTTAGCAGTTCCAGGTGCTGTACACACTCCGTAACCTCCATGTCCGTAATTATGCACTAGCTGTAATACAGTATGCTTTATCAATGATAACAAAATGCATTCACTGAAGAAATAAGTAATGTTTCATTGAAACTAACAATAGCTTTAGAAAGCCCATTTATGATATGTTCAACTTCCACTCTCACGTTGTTTTCTCTGTGTGGTCTCAAGCCAACTTCTTCTTTTACAAGTTCCGCTTTGTTGAGACCTGGGAGTAAGTTTTCGCATCTCTCGCGGATCGCTTTAGATTCATACGGACAAAGTTTCGTATTTTCAGAACCAAAATATCTTGAACCACCCAGAGTGACTACACCATTAAAACCGGGTATAATGTAAGTGTCTATCTCGCCATAAAAGAATGTTTTCAACCATGGTGCCTTTACCTATTTTTTTTTAACATTTACAAATTTAATTTTGTTCTTTCATAAAATAAATTTTACATTAAGGATAACGTACTTTGAATACTTGGCCACGCATAGGAACAAGATATCTATCATTACATAAATATCGTGCACCGAGACCTGTACAATTTATGATTAAATCCCAATCGAATACAAGTTCCCTTAGAGAATCTAACTTTTTTACAATTAATTTGGTACCATTTTCTTCTAATCTAAAATATAAATATTCTTTAATAATAATTATAAAGAATCGTGTTATCAATAAATCAAATTTATTACTTCTTGCGTGCCCATGGCAGATGTAGTTTGCATTCTGTGAGGAGAGTGCTAAAAAATGACCCGTATTTCCAGTTACCTTCAACTAATTGAAATTCTTCATCCGTAACTCTTCTGTATATTGGTACCAAATCTTCCATCCAATGACTCTATTTTAAAGGACAAATATCAGTTTTTCCCAACTAATTTTATTTTTAATTATCATCATTTATAATGAAATGTGATTGCAATAAAGAAGGAATTTCTGGAAGTGTAAATAAAATAAACCTTTACAGTTTCCGGAGAAGAATTTGCGAACATATAACCGGAAATACCAGTTACACCAGCGGAAGAAGCTTCGTGAGACTTTCGAATATCATCGTAATATGCATACGAGTCTCGTAGCCAATTTCTAAAAAGAAAAATTTAATCATAAGAGGGAAAGATTTATGTAAAAATAAATACAAGATTTGCCTCTGCACATGAACCTTGTTATTTCCTCGGTTGGTCCAGAATATGACGAACCAACTCTAAATAATCCAGCAGCCACATGACTGACAGTATCATTAAAGTCAGAAGCGAAAACAGTGACTTCAGCATTACGTAATTCACGATTTAACTGTAAGGCTGTAGTTAAACCAATTATTCCACCTCCAACTATGGCTACTTTCATTTTTTTCTTTTGCAGATGTTACAAATTTTTCCTCTTCAAAAACTGTAGTGGAAAACACTTCAATATGTTGTTGATCGTCGAAGAACTTACCACGAGTATCAGTATACTTTAAGTGCTAAAAAAAACTGTAACTCTTATCTGTTGAATAAATTTTTCTCACTACATACACCATTTATAGAACTATTATGACTACAGTCAATACGTGCTTCGTACTTTGAAATGAACGCACAAACCTTATTAAAAGAATTATGTTTATTTAATACAAATCGATACTTCTCAAAAAGTTATCGTGATAATTCAGATATTACGGGCAGTTAACGTTTCTATTACAGATAAGATTTAACATCACCATATTATAGATAAGAAAGTTCGGTGCAAAAAAGGAAAGTTTGTTCGCGGCACTTGTTAAAAAAAAATCACAATATTCACACATTAAACAATGATTGATCAAAACATGTACACCAAATGTTAAAAATTCAGAGAAAGTTATTTGATGAAGCTCAACTTCATTTTCTTGTTTATTTGCCTTATTCATTAATTAATATGAAATTTGGGTTAATCATGTATATTTCCCCACGTATATACAAATTTCAATCTCATCAGTAAAATGAGTGAATAATAAAATGAAAAAAAGACCAAAGAAAAAAAAAAGAATAAATTGCATCCTTTTCTTTCGTTAAAACAGACCCTTTTCTTCCGTTAAAACCTAAATAAAACATAATCGATAAATTACAGAAATAAAATATACAATAATAAATTCATTTGTCTTACGGGTATGTTACATCATCAACAATATAATTGTTAACAATCGATTCTTCAAATTTTTTTAGGTAAATTACACTCGTAATGCGTTATAATTTTCCATTGTATCTCTTTCTTCTTTTTCCTCGGCTGTTTCCTTCTTCGTATCGAAAAATATATAAACGCAACGCGAATTTGCAGAGACGTGGACGCAATAAAACACTAGTCGTACACGAATTCTCTTCATTCCAACGGCGATTAATTAATTAATGTCACGAAGAATGAAGCTATTTACAAAAAGCGAACAGTCGATGAATTTACTAACAATAATACATTTGTTTTGCGTCTAAGTCCTGCGAAGAAATTTCAACGATCTCATAAAGCCTTTATATCAAGGCCACGCTCTTTGTCTCCATAGAGAAATAAATGTTTATATGTCGTTCATTTTACAAGCTTAACGTCTACGATTGTTACATTTTATCATAGAATAATGTCACCTAAAATACAAAAAATCTTTACGCCTTACTGCAAGGTTGTATCGTATAATTCAAAGGAGGAGGAGGAACTAAAAGAGGCAGCGGAGTAGGTGGTGGAGGAGCTTGAACAGTGCTTGAAACTGTAGCTGTTGATTGAGCTTCGCTAGTACGGTTGTAAGCGGAAAGATAACTCGGCCAAAGGTGTGGTGGTGGAGGTGATCCTGGAGGTGGTGGTGGCGGAGAACGATCATCTAGTTCATCCGAATCATCCATCATCATTGCTGTCAATGGAGTGACTCGGGGTTTCTTTAATTTTATGATCTTCACCTAATGAACAATTAGTAAAACATTGATTTGACATATTATAACAAAAACTTTGCATTCTTATTCTTCCTTTCTCACTTAAAAAGTAATAATAACAAAATTAAATTTATAAACTAAAACAGACTGACCTTCACTTTTTTCTTTGCTTTTGGAGGTCGTGTTCTTTTCTCTTGTTTTCTACTCTTCCTGGAACTGGATCTTCGAACGTCACGTACTGCACTCCGAGCAACAGATATAGGCGGTGGAGGAGAAGGCATATCTCCTTCACCACCACTAGGACTAGTACCTTCCCCAGGTTTAATTCCATCCGCGAATTGCACAGATTTTTTACTCCTTTGTTTTCGTTTACTTTGCTTCGTCAGTTTTGTTTTCTTCGTTTGAATCTTCAACTTGCTTGGCTTGTTCTCACCAGTTTCATCTTTATTCGATTCATTTTTATCTACTTCCGTACCTTCTTTATCCGTATTGTCTCCACTATCATTTTCGGGAGTAGATAGGTCATCCAAATTGCCATTGGGAACTGACGTCCTTCTAAAATATATTTACATTTGGAAAATAAAACAAGATAATTTCCTTCGTCAAATATAAATACGAACAATCGCGTACCTGAAACCTGATGCGACTAAAATTCCTTTCAAGGGCGGTGGGAGTAATTCCGGCCATCCTTTAGACTCCGTTTCGATTTGGATTTTATTCGTTTCATCCATCGGTGTTGTTGCAGTAGCTTCATCAACTTCGTTTTTCAATTTATTTAACCGTGATTTTTCATCGTCCTCTTCTTCTTCCTCCTCGTCATCCTCTGCCTCTTCTTCTTCTTCTTCATCATCTTCGACTTCAGCCTCCTCCTCCTCTTCTTCTTCCTCGTCCTCTTCAACGGGTACTTCTTCCTCTTCTGTAGAAGCAGAAGACGTGACTACCGGCGTCATTTCTTCTTCCTTTTCAAAAACAGTAGTAGAAGTTTGCTGTTCCTCCACATCACATTGCTCTTCACTTTCTCGAAGAGCTTTCAAAACAGACGGATCCAAGGCTGAACTTTTCTGCTGATTCGTACTTTCTGACTGACGCATATTGTTCTTTTCCAACAATTGCAGAGCACGCCGGTTAATTCTTTCGATTCGCCTACGTTCTTTTTCCTTTCTTTTAATCTCACGCAATCGTTTACGCTCCTCCCGTTCTTTTCTGCGAGTTTCTAAAATAACTTCGTAATTATAGACTGGCAGAACGGGCACTCCTACAAATTAATCAATTATTTAAATAATCAGTGTTTTTCAATAGTGTTTGCAATACAAAAAAAAAAAGAGTGTATTCTTGTTTACTTACTCTGCGGTGTTACTTCGGTTCTGGAGAACGTTGTTTGTGTTACAGGAAGTGGAACAGGACCAGGGACAGGAACAGGAACGGAGAGAGGCAGTGGGGATAAAGTAGAAACTGGTGTCGATGAATTCACAGCAGATGGAACGGCCGGTACAGGCATGGGGACAGGAACTGGAACAGGTACAGACATAGGGACTGAGGAAACTGGAGAAGATTGAGGGACTGTAGTAGAATATATCATCCCTGATTGATCGACCGAAGAAGGCTGTCCACCACTCCAGTCCAATGACGTTGGTACAACTTGAAGTACATTACCTACGCGAACTACTTGGCTGGATCCCCGTACAATCGGTGTTGATGAGGAATTGGTCGGTTCTCTGTGTGTTGCTGGAACTCCATTAAAATCTGCAGGTACCACTTGCAACACATTGCCCACCTGTTCAACATTTTACATGAAAATATGCTATGTGTCTATTTCTTTCTTTTTTTTTTTAATATCTTTGTGACAAACATTAAATAAAATGTAGCGTAAACAAGAAGAAATAAAATAAGCTACGATTATTATGTCAAATATGACGATCCTTTGATTAATTTAAATATGGCATACTTGTAAAACGGTAGGTTGTTGACGGTAAAGCAGTTGCTGCTGCTGTTGCTGAGGCGATGATGGGTAACATACGTTCGAATTAAAGCTTTCTCCATAATCATTCGACACTGCTGTTCCATTCTGTTGCTTCTTAATCCCTAACTCAAGTTCCAGTCTAAAATTAACCAGAAGATACAAACATAAGCATAATATTTAAAGTTAGATATGTATTTTATTAATATTGAGATCTCAATACTAATAACGGTTCAGGAAACAGCGGAAAGGAAGGGTAGTTAGGGTTAGGATTCCGAACACGATTTCTATCTATTATATTACCTATCATCGAGGGATAAACGTTTCGGAGAACTCGCCGTCGAGTCATCAATGCACGGTGGATAAGTCAAGTTATTCTCTGTATAATAATATTCATTTCCAACTTCGTTTTCAGCCGAATATTGGAAACCTGCTGCAATCGTCTCCATATTGTCACCGATGTGCATTTCCGAATCTAAGACGGTCGAGTCCCTAGATAGTCCAGATACGGACTGCACGATCGTCTCTATTCGTCTACCTCTTTCGATGTAGCTATCTAGTTTCATACTATCGTGTTCATCCTTCCTTTCCCTTGAACTTTCGCTGATTCTACCTCGTCCCATAGAAGGTGATCTGAATTGACAGTAAGATAGACTTACTGACTATCCAACACGGACAATCAATACACGGACATTTGTATGAATTATTCTAAAAAATTCACCTGGATGATCGTAATCGTTCCGTCATTCGAAAATGATCCGGAGTTCTCATTCTGGATCCTGAGGTAGACCTAGTCCTCGATCGAGATCCAGATCTGGATCTTGATCTTGAACGCATCATTGACCGAGATCTGGAGGTTGATCGAGATCTAGATCTAGATCTAGATCTAGATCTCGATCTTGACCACGACTTCGACCGCGATCTAGATTCGTGTCTAAAATGCTCGTGTGATGATCTACGAGGTGATCTTCGTGATCGTGGTGGAGAACAACCTCTAGATGGGAGTAATTTTTCTGTTCTTCGAACGTGCCCATGTCTGTCTAGATCCAATGGTTCTCTTTCTTTCTCCCATTGTCTGTTTCTTTTTGCAGCGGGCCTACTTTTTCTTTCAAAATAATATAATCTTTCTTAATATTAGTATCAACATTATTTTATTATAATAATCTTTCTTAATATTAGTATTAATGTAAATATTGATATTTATAGTACCTATGTTTGAACTTTGATGAGGGACGAAAAGGGCCTTCCATAATATCCCTTTCAATATTGTCATCTCTGTAGTAAGATTTTTCTTCATAATCAAGATCTAAATCTTGGCTATTGGGATAGGAATCTAAGGACTCATTTCCATCTCGAAGCATATTCTCTGCCTCGTACGGCCATAGTAATCGATCCGCTTCATCCTCGCGAAATCTACTCTCCCTGTGTTTATCAAAATCCACGTTTCTTTCTCTTAGTACTTCTATTGCTTCGTACGATCTACTTTCCTTTTCTCTTTCCATAAAATCGTATTTCCTTCTATTCCACTCATCTCGATCTCCTTTGGTAGTTCCATGCTTCTTAAAATGATCTGTAGACAATTATTAACAATATTGAATCATAAAAATGGAAGATTAAAAACAAAAAAAAAAAAAAAAAAAAA